AGGTTAAGCCATGGCCTGCAGCACCAGCATCCCATATGGGTGCTGGTTTAAGTCCCGGCTGCTCTACCTCCAACCCAGCTCCCTGCTAATACACTAATACACCTGGGAAATGACATAACATGGTTAAGACTTTGGGCTTCTACTACCCCCGTGGGAGACCCAGAAGAAGCTCCTGGCATTGGCTTGGCCTAGTCGCAGTCATTGCAGCCATTTGGGCAATGAACCATGGATGGAAGACCTCTCTCTGTTTTTCCTTCTCTCTCTGTAACTCTGCCTTTCAAATAAATAAGTAAATCTTTAAAAAAAAAAAAAAGAGCTAAATACTAATAAACTGGAAAACCTCAAAAAAATCAATAAATTCCTGGATAAATGTAACCTACCAAGATTAAATCAATAAGATATAGACATCTAAACACACCCATAAAAGCAATGATACTAAAGCAGTCATCAAATGTCTTGCAACAAGGAAAAGTCCAGGACCTAACAGCCTTACTACTAAATTCTACAAAACATGCAAAAAAGAAGTAACTCCAATATTCTTCAGATTATGCTAAAAAATTTAACAGGATGAAATTCTACCAAACTCTTTTTATGAGGCCAGCATCACTTTGATATCAAAACTGAACAAAGATATTACATGAAAACTACACACCTATATCCTTAATGAACACAGATGGTAAGATTCTCAACAAAATACTAGCAAATTGAACCCAAAACCAAATCAAAAAGACTGTACATCATGATCATGTAGGATTTACCCCTGGAATGCAAGGATAGTGCAACATTTGCAAATCAACAAATATCCTAAATCACATCAACAGAACGAAGAACAAAAACCATATCTGACAAGATTCAACACCCCTTTATGATTAAAAAAATACCTACAAACTAAGTATAGAAGGAATATACCTCAAAATTTTAAAGGCTCTATATGACAAACCAACAGCCAATATACTATTGAATGGGGAAAAGCTAAAAGAATTTCCCCTTAAATTTCAAATAAGACAAGGATATCTACTTTCACCATTTTTGCTCAATATAGCATTGGAAATTTTAACAAGAGCAATTAGGAGAAAGAAAAGAAAAAGAAAAAGAAAAAGAAAAAGAAAAAGAAAAAGGAAAGGAAAGGAAAGGAAAGGAAAGGAAAGGAAAGGAAAGGAAAGGAAAGGAAAGGAAAGGAAAGAAAAGAAAAGAAAAGAAAAGAAAAGAAAAGAAAAGAAAAGAAAAGAAAAGAAAAGAAAAGAAAAGAAAAGAAAAAAATAAAAGAAAAGAGAAAACAAAAGAAGAGAGAGAAAGAAAGGTCCGCATCAAAACTGGAAAGAAACAAGTCAGGTTATCCAGGTTTGCAGATGACATAATGTTGTACACGGAAAAACATCAACACTCCACCAAAAAGCTGTTAGAATTGATAAACCAGTTTGGTAAAGTTGCAGGTTACAAAATAAACATACAAAAAATGGTAGCTTTTGGATACACTAATGATAAAAACTCATTAAGAAAAATTTAAAAAGAAACCCAATTCACAATAGCTATGAAAAAATCAATATTGGGGAATAAATTTAACCCTAGAGTGAAAGATCTCTAATGAAAATTATCAAACATTAGTTACAGATACCATTGAGGACACAAAAAATTAGAAAGCCATTCTTTGCTCATGAACCAGAAGAACTGATATCATTAAAATATCTCTACTATATCTATAATACCTAAAGCAATCTACAGATTCAATGTAATCCCTCTCAAAATACAAACAACAATCTTTACAGAATTAGAATAAAACATCCATAAGCTGTACTTTGGAAATTTATATTTATTAAATGAAAGTTAATAAAAAGAAAATGAATCTTGATGTGAATGGAATAGGAGAGGGAGCAGATGGGAAGGTTGCGGATAGGAGGGAAGTTATGGGGGGAAAAAGCCACTGTAACCCAAAAGCTGTACTTTGGAAATTTATATTTATTAAATAAAAGTTAAAAGAATAAAACAGTCCTAAATTGGGGCCGGCGCTGTGGTGTAGTGGGTAAAGCCATTGGCGGCCACACTGACATTCCATATGGACACCAGTTCAAGTCCCAGCTGCTCCACTGCTGATCCAGCTCTCTGCTATGGCCTGGGAAAGCAGTAGAAGATGGCCCAAGTCCTTGGGCACCTACACCCGCGTGGGAAGACCTGGAGGAAGGTCTTGGCTTCTGGCCAATTGGGAAGTGAACCAGTGGATGGAAGACCTCTCTCTCCCCCTGCCTCTCCTTCTCTCTCTGTGTAACTCTGACTTTCAAATAAATAAATAAATCTTTAAAAACCAACCAATCATAAAATACATACGGATTCAAAAAAAGACCCAGAATAGCAAGAAAATCCTAAGCAAGAAAAATTGAACTGGAGGCATCACAATAACTGACTTCAAAGCATACTAAAAAGCTATAGTAATTAAAATAGCATGGGACTGGCTTAAAAACTGCCATATAGTTCAATGCAACAAAAAAGAGAACCTAGAAATTAATACATATATATACACCCAATTGATTATTCAAAACAGTGCTCAGACCATACAGTGGAAAAAGGATAATCTCTTCAGCAAATAGTGCTGGAAAAACTGAATGCACATATGTAGAAGAAAGAAATTAGATCTATACCTCTCACCATATAAACAGCAACTCAAGATGGAAAAAAGACCTAAATTGAAGACCTTAGGCAATGAAGCTGCTGGAAGAAAATGTAGGGGAAACACTCCAAGACACTGGTGTAGGGATGACTTATCAGACAAGACCCCCAAGCATGGGCAACAAATGCAAAACCAAACAAATGGGATATCAAAAATCAGAAGCCTCTACACAACAAATGAAACAATCAACAGAGTGAAAGAAATCCAAAAGAATGGGAAAAAATATTTGCAAGTTACTTATCCAACAAAAGATCAATATCCAGAATATATCAGCAACTTAAAAACTCAATTAAAAAATACAACCAATCAAGAAATAAGCAAAGGACCTAAACAGTCAGTTCTCAAACAATGAAATACAAATGTCCACAAATATATGAAAAAATGCTCAACATCACTATTCATCAGAGAAATGAATTATGAGATATTATTGTTGTTTACAGCCTTGTCTATACTCTAGAGGAACAGTGGTTTTTCTACTTACTAGTGTTTGAATTATTTTTTTAGTGGAGAGTCAACCTTGTAATTATAAAATAAACTAAAAATATGTCATTGTAAAAAAAACTAAGGAAGGAAGGAGGAGGGAAGGTAGGAGTATGGGTGGGAGGGTGGGAGGGTAGAGTGGGAAGTATAATTGTGCTCTTAAATCTGTATATATGAAATATATGAAATTGGTTCACTTTACATAAATAAAAATTTTTTTAAAAGACACCATTCACTTGATTAACTAACTAAATAACCACAATGAGGTATCAACTCACCCCTGTCAGATGGCTAAAATCCAAAAGACAGAATATCAAATGCTGGTGAGGATGTGGACATGGGGGAACACTTACACACTGTTAAATGGAATGTAAATTAGTATACCCACTGTGAAAAACAGTATGGAAGTTTCTTGAAAAACTAGAAATATACTTGCCGTATGATCTAACAATCTTACTACTGGGTATAGACCCAAAGACTTCAGTACCTTGTATCAAATAGACCAACATGTTTATAGCAGCACTGTTCACAATAGCCAAAATTTGGAATCAGCCAAGGTGTCCATAAAAAAAAAAAAAAATATGTGGTGGAATTCCAAGGAGGTTGAATAGGGAAGACATACTATTTAAGATGAGGGGGAAATAGCAGGAAAATGGCAGAGGCAGTACATTCCCAGGGGAGACTTGGAGAGAAATCTGCAACGGAAATTCTGCAAAAGGAAGAGGGATACTGTGACCCAGCAATCAGACTCCTGGGAATTTACAAAAACAATATGAAATCAGCATATGAATGAGTTATGTGTACCCCCATGTTCATTGCAGCTCAATTCATAATAGCTAAGATATGGAGACAACCTGAATGTCTATCAGCTGACGACTGGATAAAGAAATTATGATATGTGTGTGTATGTATATACACACAAGCTTGTATATATTCCAGTCTGATATACAAAATAGACGCAACTGGAAATCATTTTCCCTTGTGAAATACGCCAGTCTCAAAAAGACAAATAGCACAGGTTTTACCTTATCTGTGGTAACTAACAGAGTACCAAAAATGTAACGAATAGAAGAAAAACTGACATTTTGAGATTCCCTGTCTCTGCTATGAACAGTTTTTTTTTTCTTATTATTTGTTGAAATCTTAACATAGATTTAATCTTAAGAGTATAAAGTACACTGAAAGTAGCTCATTGTAAAAATTGGGGGGGGGGGGGGGGGGTTTGCAGGTCCTGTGGCATAGTGTGTAAAACCGCTGTCTGCAGTGCCAGCATCCCATGTGAGCGCCGGTTCGAGTCCTGGCTGCTCCACTTCTGGTCCAGCTCTCTGCTATGGCATGGGAAAGCAGTAGATGGCTCAAGTCCTTGGGCCCCTGCACCCACATGGGAGACCTGGAAGAAGCTCCTGGCTCCTGGCTTCAGAATGGCTCAGCTCCAGCCACTACAGCCATTTGGGGAGTGAACCAGCGGATGGAAGACCTCTCTCTCACTCTCTCTGCCTGTCCTTCTCTCTCTGTGTAACTCTGACTTTCTAAATAAATAAACAAACAAACAAATAGCGGGAGGAAACCAAAAGGTGGAAGTGGGGACAGGAGGGAGGGTAGGGTAGGATGGGAAGTGTATGAAATATGACACTTGTGTACCTTAAAAATTTTTACGAATAAATATATATTTTTTAAACAAGAAAATATATGCATACACAATGGAATATTATTCAACCATAACAAAAGGTTGAGCACGTTATGAGCAATCACCGCAACACTGATAAGAAGTCGGCCTGGAGCTCCACGAGTGGCTCCAGGCCCCATACCACCACCGGGGCCTGCCAGCCCCCTGCCCGCCTCAAGGCGGCGGTCCTACCTTTGCCTACTGACTGCCAGCGGGATCCCATTTGCACCTCAGTACAGCCCTCAGCCTCCCGTCTAGTCTACGCCACACAAACTACCGCCTCCACAGAGCTGCACGCATGCGCCCCTCCACCCTCTGGGCGCCTCAGGGCGCCAGCGCATGCGTAGGGCTGAGGCACGGGAACACGGCCAGCTCCCAGAAGGGGGCGCTCTCACGAACCCAAGGCCCTCTCGACTTCCACAGCAAACTTAACTCTCAACACCTGCGCTGCCTCACCGTCTCCTTGAGGTCTCCCCGATCACTTCTGCCTTCGATGATAGCACTGAAACACAACTTTCGCCCGGCACTTGATATCCGTATGCCTTGTATGGGTTGAAGAGTCCACAGGTTTGTACCCTCGCACCTTGTACTCTTTCGTCGGCCCAATAGGAATGATGTGATGTATATCGTAGTCGCTCAAATTAGAGTTCAACTAAGGCTGACTGAGCTAAAACCTGAAACCTCTGAAAATCCTGTTATACGTCATTTCACAATAAGAAGTCCTGTGTCGTTAAAGTAAAATGAAATTCTACCATTTACATCAAAATGGATGCAACTAGAGGACAACTGGTTGTGTTAAATAAACTGGACACAGAAAGGTAAATATCTCATGTTTTCCCAAATTTTTTTAAAATGAAAAAAATAAACAAAAACAAGACATGTTTTGTGTAGCAGTATTTCTGCAAATACAGTTTTGTAAAATTTTGTTTTTTACCTTTTTCAAACCAGTAGTTAAGAATTGTATGCTACTACAGTTTTAATGATCTGAGATTGCTTTAAAATTTACTGTATATGTGTGAAATGATCACTTTTCCATTTGTTGTTGCTTATAGCCCTTTTCTATATTCCTAGTAAACTAGGATCTTTTTGCTTTTTACTAGTTAAATTTCTTATTCGGTGAAATATTAAGCCTCTTTACTATAACTTAGATTTAAAATGTGTTATCCAAAAACTCAAAAATGAAAAGTAGAGGAAAGGAGGGTAGGAGAGTGAGAGGGGGAGGTAAGGTTGAAGGGATTATTACATTCATAGAATTTAATCTAAGAACTATCTTGAATCTGTTAAAAGCTAATTAAAAATAAAAGTATAGAGCAAATAAATGCTAAAAAAGAAATACCAGCATTTATAATAATATCAAACGTGAAATATTTAGAGTAAATTGAACAGGTTATGTACAATAGCTGCACCAGAATCTATGAAGCATTGCAAATTAATACTGAAGATCTAAATAAACTAAAAGGTCTTGCTCATGAATTAGAGAACACATTATTGGTAAGATGTCAATACATTCAGAGTTGGTCTATAGACCAACTGTGATCACAATCAGAACCTCAGCAGATTCTCAGTAGAAACTGAGGAGCAGTTTCAAAATTTAATAAGAAGGACAAAAAAAATTTAAAAAATCCAGTCATCAAGACAGCAGTACTGGACAGACACATAAAGAACAGATAAAAAAAAATACACATACCCCATATATGTGCACATACACACAATGCATATACAGGTATAGATGGGCACATTACATACATTTTGATATGTCATGTATATTATTTATATACGTATGCATATACAAAATAAATATATATGTGTACATGTATATACAAAATAAGCAAATGATTTCCAACAAGATTTTAAAAATAATTCTTTTATAAATATATAGTCTTCATTTTTTCAGCTTTACTAAAGTATAAATGATAAAAAATTGGTATATATTCAAGGTGTACAATATGATATTTTGATATACATACAAGTTGGAAATGATTACCACAAACTAATTAATATAGCCATCATCTCACATAGCTACCTGTTCTTGTATGTAGGGAGGATACCTAAGATTCACTTTATTAGTAAAGCAACATAGAATCTTTAAAAGAACCTACAGGGGCTGGCGCTCTGGCACAGTGGGTTAAAGGCCCAGACCACAGTGCTGGCATCCCACATGGGCACCAGTTCAAGTCTTGGCTGCTCTACTTCCCATCCAGCTCCCTGCTAATGCACCTAAGAAATAAGCAGAGGATGGCCCAAGTGTGTGGGGCCCTGTACTCATGTGGGAGACCGGGAGGAAGCTCCTGGCTCTTGGCTTCGGATGAGCTCATTTCAGTTCCCACTATTGTGGTCATCTGGAGAGTGAACCAGCAGATCGAAGAACTCACTCTCTTTCTCCCTCTCTCTCTGTCTGTCTCTACTTCTCTCTGTCACTCTTTCTAATTAGTAAAATATATCTTTAAAAAAAAGAACCTACAGTCTTATATAATATCTGAAATTTAATTCAAAATGTAGGAATCACAGACATAGCATTAAAACTATATATCTTTCAGAAAAACACTTAAGAGAAAATCTTAGAGCCCTTAGATTAGGCAAAAATTGTTTAGCTATGACACTGAAATCATGAACCAAAAAATTAAAAATAAGTAAATTGAACATTATCAAAATTAAAACTTTCTTCTCTATAAAAAATTGAAAAGGTAGGAGCACAATCAAGAAAATACTTATAAAACATATATCTGATAAAAAACTAATTCAGAATAAAAAAGAACTTTTTTTATTTGACAGGTAGAGTAAGAGAGAGACAGAGAACAAAAATAACTCTTAAAAGTAACTAATAAGAGAAGCAACTTCATTTTTAAAGTGTGTAAAATATTTGAACAGATACTACCCAGTGAAAATAAATAGATGGTAAAATAGCTTAACATCATTAGTCATTAGGTAATTACAAAATAAAAATTCGAGATACACGACATACCTAAGAGAATGCTTGAACTAGAACAAGAGGTTAAAAACAAAAACAAAAACTCACCACACCAATTTCTGGCAAAAACACAGAAGAACTGGAATTCTCATCCATTGCTTCTGAGAATGAAAAATGGTACAGCTACTTGAGGAAACAATATGATCTTATGAAAGATATAGCAATTTCAATTCTAGGTGTTTACCCAAAAGGAATGAAAGTAGGTATTTCACAATAAGGTCTGAATGCAGTTATTTAGAGCTAATTTTTTTTTTCAGCATCTCCAGAAACAACTCAAATCCATCATCTGGTATATGTATAAGCAGATTTTATTGTATATCACTTGCATCTCAATAAATCTGACTTCTAAAGGAACAGGAAGAAGGAAACCTTGATCAAACTTATTGCTTCCTCATGGAATCATTTCCTGCCTCTATTGTTTCTAGCCTGGTCTATCACTCCAACAGAAGAGTGACCATTCTCCTTTTTCCCATCAAACTCTATGTGTCTCCATCCTCAAGCATTGTGTACGAGGTTAAACATTGGTTTTGCAGTCTTTTCTCCTACTGGCTGGGGCTCCTTGAGGGTTCTTTCTCCCAAAACTATATCCCCATGTTTAAAGTCATCTTTAAGGGCCAGTGCTGTGGCATAGGGGATGAAGTCACCTTTAACACACAAATATAATCAATAACTATCAGGAGAGAGGAAGAAATAAAATATGGGGAATAAAAGAACAGAGAATCTTTTCCTTAACTATTTTCTCTTCTAACTATCCCGTGAGAAAGTAAAAAATTTCTTCTATCAACTTTAGCACAAAGTTAATCTTAACAACAAAAATGCCCTGCATTTCTATGTTTTTAAAGTAACTCAGGATTTTTATTTTGTTAAGGTACTGTGTGGTCAACAAATGGAGTGATGACTGCCCCTCAGCAGGTGATTTGTTACTAACAGTTCCCAAGAATATAGAACTCGCAGCACCACATAATATCACATGGAGAAGCACCAGTCAATCAAGAGGCAGAAGGTATGAGAAAAAAAGTGCGGCAAAAGCTTGTATCATGATTTTTCCAAAAAGAAATGGACAAGGTTGGATTAACAACCAAGCATTACTTAGGTTTTTAGTTTAAGTAATCTGGGCAGGCTCTGTGCTAAGGTCTCCAGTAGTCCAGCAGATGGCTCAAGAGTGAGTTAGGACAGGGGCACTGTGTTCCCAACTGCAGGAGACTAATAAAATGAGCCAGATGGGTATGAAGGTTGGTTTGAGTACAAACAGGGTACTCATAAGCTCCAGGTGTGCTCAAGGACACAGCCACCAGGGAAGGGGCAATCTCTCTGCATTTCAGTGAGGCTCAGAGTGCCAGAGCACTCAGTATAAAGAAAATAAGGAAATAAAGTTAATACAATTTATACAGTACCTTTTCTTTATACACTGCAGCATATTCAGTAACCTTAGAATAAAATTCGGTGTGCCCTGCTGGTTATCTAGGTATTAGCTATATTTTTCGTATTTTAAATTAGTCTAACATCTTGCTAAATATCAAATGAAAAATAGCTTAGATGATGTGCTTAGACATATTCCTCTATATTCTGCACTAAGCACTACATAAACATTGAGAAAAATATTTAATTTGTATATGGTAAGATGGATTACACAGTCAACTTCTTTAACTTTTACTTCCCACTGTGAATCAACTGAAGCTACGCTTTAGTGCCTTCCAGGATAAGTAATAGAAAATGCCACAGACAAAAACTGCTGAGTTATCTTCACCCTTGTTCTTTTATTTAATATTATTTCCATGTTATTTTATTTAACAAGTGATACAGGAGCTGGGAAAATACAATAGTGTGTCTGTGCTTGTAAAGATATTGGAGAAATCAATTACAATTTGAGAGAAAGCATTACATTTTCTTATGTACATTTTGTTTAAAGTGTTAGGAAAAGGCCACTCTGTCTTAGACTCCAAATTTATTTGCCTTAAAATAAATCCCTAGATAACAAGAGAACAAAACATCTATCATGAGTTCCAAGATCACTATCAGGTTTTCATTTCTGACTTTTCTCCTTCATGTCTGCTTTATTCACAGTTAAAGCTGAGAATAATAATAATATAAATGTAAGACCATCTAACGCTTTCATCATAGAGTTCTCTCAGCTACTGGATAAATGCACAAAATAACATATTCATGTAGGAAACTGTGCTTTGTGTCTCAAATAGCCTTTGTCAATTCACCTCTCACTCCTAAGAATCTAATAAGAAATCCTGAATAACTTTAAAAAGTGATTTTAAACATAACCTCAGGTAACAGTAGTAATTTTAAATAGCCAACATACGACACCTTACTGTGTGCTTACTAAGTGTTTGGCTTATAATATCTTATTTATTTCTCCAAACACTGCACAAGGGATGTATTTATAAAAACCTCATCTGTAGATGTAGAAAATGAAGGACAGAAAAGTAAGAAACCCAGCTTGCAGTTGGTAAACCCAGGATTTAAATGAATGCGTCTCTGACTCCTAAACCAATACTTCTATCTACTTTATTATATGTTGTATCTCATGTAGAAGCTGCTTGGTTAGAGCATTTTCTCCTAGAAACCATGTTACAGGCACTATTTATAGTCTTGTGAGTAACCACAAGGCAAATTGCATCTGTACAAGGTACAAATATTGTTACACAGAATCTGATCATAACTTGTACAATTGTTTCTATGAGACAATGAATTCTAAGAATTTTTTTTACTAGGAATAGCAGAACAGATTTTCTATTTATATACTTGGACAATGGAATCTCTTTCCCTCTCCCCTGTGCCCTATTAAACCTGAATACAGCTGATTATGAAGGGTTTTGCAATATAATAAGAGAGTGAAGTAAGATTGGTTTTTAATTCTGAGGAGAGAGAAGCAGGTAATTCTAGAAAAAACAGAATAACTCCAAGTATAGCAGTAGATGAGAACCCATTCTGTTTACGTTTGAGAAAATACATTCTCACAACACATTACCTAACTACAGCTGCTAAGCCCCAGATAGGTATTTTAAAGATATTTACCCTCTTATCATCTCATCCTTACAATCTAGATATAAATAGCCTTATTTTATAGCGTATGGTTAGTTGGAACTAAAACTGGTTTATACAACCAGGGAAATAGCAGAATCATCTCCTGAAATTTTGCTGGAGGCCAGCTACAAAGACTCCATTATAGTGTAGTGATGAAAGAGGGGCAGTGAACTGAGGGTCAAAGTCGCAGTTGTATTTTATCCGATGAACCAAGTGTTTTAAGCGACCTTCAATTTTTTTTATTTTTAAAAACTGACATAAAATGTATACATATTTACCTGCTATCATGTGATATTTTGACATATTTATGCATTGTGTGTTTTCCGATCATGAGAGAAGTAAGAAATTCTGGAGTTCTGTTGCACAGTAGGGTGACTGTAGATAATAACATTGCATAATATAATTCTCCAACAAAAAATTAGAATAAAGGATTTTTGAATGTTTTCACTGTAAAGAAATGTTAAATACTTCAGGTGATAGATATGTTTTAAGTAAATTTTAATTTAAGTTCCTGGGCTCACCAATTTGTTACAGTTCTCCTATATGGTATCTCTTACATCCAGTTTCCCACACAGTTACATCAATTTCATGGCTCTTGAAAGGATTTAAGAAACCTCATGGACAATGATGGTGATATCAAAATATTACAGAAAAGCACTTCACTCAGGACTATAAATGTATTATTCCACTTAATCCTAATAGGAACCCCAAGTGTTACATATGGCTATTTCCATTTGATAGATAAGAGAATTGATTAATTTGTCTAAGTTCAATATAGCTAACTAGTGGTATTGCATTACCCAAACTCTGTGCTCTTAACTAGCAGCCTGTATTGTTTCTAATTAAACACTATATTGTAATTGCTAAAAGCATCTGAATCTACTCCAAGGTCCACTAAAGGACGCTGATGAATGAGTTCTTCAGCAGCAGATATTTTGCTTTCCTTTTAAAAAATAATCAGTCAGGGCCAGTGCTGTGGCGCAGAGAGTTAAAGCCCTGGCCTGAAGTGCTGGCATCCTATATGGGTGCTGGTTCTAGTCTCGACTGCTCCATTTCTGATCCAGCTCTCTGCTATGACCTGAGAAAGCAGTGGAAGATGGTCCAAGTCCTTGGGCTCCTGTACCCACATGGGAGACCCAAAAGAAGCTCCTGGATCCTAACTTGAGATCGGCTCTACTCCGGCCATTGAAGTCATTTGGAGAGTGAACCAGCAGACCTCTCTCTCTCTCTCTCTCTCTCTCCCCCGTCTCTACCTCTCTCTATCTCTCTCTGTAACTCTTTCAAATAAATAAATAAATCTTTGAAAAAAATCAGCCAAGGTTTCATTCAACTGAAATCAGAAATTTCAATTCAACACAATTGCCCATATATTATATGAAAAAAACCTTCACCAGAGAAGGTTGGCTTAATTGTCCAGAGGATTTGAGACTAAACAGTCCTTTGATTTCACTCTGGAATCAATGGTCCTCATATTCCTCTGTCACTGTGAAGACTATAGCTTCTCATCTCTACACAACAGAAGAATGGATGTGCAAGAAAGGGAAGCTCCCTGATGTATTAAAGAGAACTGCAAGTTCGGCAGAGGATTGATGGTGGCTTCAAGAGAATGTGCTCTCCCATCCACTCACAAGTGTAATTTAAAGAGAATTTTTCAAGGCATGGATAGACACCATTACTCACATCAATTCCCACTGCTTTTTCTCTCTCTAACTCTTTACCAATTCTGGTCCACAGCAATTCTGCCCTGTTTAATCAACAGCATGCATTTGAGAAGTATTCTCTAGCAGCCCCAGATGAATTTCTTATATCATAAATTGAATGAAGTGGTGAACATGATAAATATGTCTGCAGTGTAACAGATTGATTTCAAACTGTATGATCTGCCTGAGGGTAAAAGGAATTTCCCAAACTATGGCAACTCCAGATCTGAAAAGATCTATTTTCACCAGAAGCCTAACTTCAGTTTTTTCACTGTGAAATTTTTTCAATGAAAAATTCTATGTGCAACCCCCTGTGTTGAAAATTAAAACATAAGGAAGCTGAAGGACATAAATTTATACAGGATGAAGGTTTTATAAAATACAGTGTATCTGTGACTCAGGAAGTTTTTCTAGCCCTTTGTCCAAAGGACAGTGTAGGAGGCAGAATAGTATATCCCCAAACATTCCCATGCTCTAATCTTTTGATACTGGGAATGTTAAATTTTAAGTCAAGGATATCAAAGTTTCAGGTAGCATTAAGGTTGTCCATTAGGTGATTTTGAGATGGACTGTCCTGGGATATATGGGCAGGATCAATGTAATCATAAGGGGGTGGGCATTGTGGTTCAACAGGTTAAACCACAGGTTAGGATGCCCACATCCCTTATCTGAGTGCCTGTTTCCAATCCAGCTTTCTAATGCACATGAGAGGCAGCAGATGATGGCCCAAGTACTTGGGTTCCTGCCACCCACATGACAAACACAGATGGAGCTCCTAGATCCAGGTTTCAGTCTGGTCCAGCCACAGCTGTCACAGGCATTTGTGAAGTAAACAGTCGATGGAAGATCCATCTCTCTCTTTCTCTCCATCCCTCCGTTTCTCCCTCTGCCACCTCCTTCCTTTCTTATTCCCTCCATTTCTGTCTTTTGAATAAACAAAACTTTAAAAAAAAATAAACAGAATACAGGCATGAGACTAAACATCCAAGGGGTATTTTGCCAAATGAGATAACTTTAAGATGTCTGACCTTCAGAAGCATAATAAATTGTATATTTTTAAGCCATTAATCTGCCACAACAGAAAAAGGGAACTTGATGGCACCAGGAAGTAGGGCGATATAACAAATACCTTAAAGACAGAAGTGGTATTGGAACTGGGCAAAGAGAAAGAGATGGACAAAATCTGATTAATCTGGTAGAAAAACTCTGGATTGCCTGAATGTTAGTAGAATCATAGATGATAGTGACAACTAGTGAGGACTACTAG